GGCTCAGAAGAAGTCTATCCATAATATGCAAGCATATATCATGTGCCAAGATGTAAGTTGTTTCGAATCACGAAACACTTCAGTACAATCTCACCATCCCTCCCCAGACTCAGGTCCAGTACTACTATCTCGCTGGAGAGGGCGCAGACATGAAAAGGGGCCGCGCCGCCGCGTGGCCCCTCCCAACTCACTTAGCACCTATCAGGTTTTAGATAATCGAAGTGACAGTCCAAAATGATGGAAAAAAGACGGAAAAACGAGAAAATCAGTGCATTTATAGTATATGGTATTAAAAAGTTGCGAAATTAGGGGTTGGCCGAGAGACCGCAAAAGTTGCATAAAAGGGGTCTTTGGACGAGCTGTCTACAGACAGGTGCCAATGCTTACAGTTGGTTACAGTAAGCTGCCTGCGAGCAACATGCGGGTCCTGGTGCGAATGGTGCAACCTCTTCGGCTTCCACAACGCCATGAAAACTTGTTCTCTTCTGATGGGTACGTCAGCTGAACCGATTTTGGGACCCTTTTACGCCCTATACAAGCCGTTGTTTGACTCGACAGCTTGTCCTATCCTTTCAGAAACCGTGAAGGCTGGCTGCTTATCGTGAAGGCCTGGCTTTAGGAGGCGTTAAAGGTAGTATAGGTCTTACTGCCTTGTGGGATGTCGATCAACGGTTGACGCCCGCGTCGTCGTCGATACTATGAATGCTTCCAATGGTCGTGCGAGCGGTGTAATCGCATGCCTTTAACAGTTTCTGCGTTGAGCTCTTCTTTGCTGCTCGTCATAATAGGAAGGGAAGAGATTCTTCAATTAGAACTGACTGTTTACGAAACTAATGTCACAGTTCACCTACTTCCCCGCTTTTTTCACTGTAATCAAGAAAGAACTACTATCCACAAAGTGTTTCTGTTTCAGATAAAAAGGATCGGAGCAAGACGAATCTCTCATAAAATGAAGTGCTGATATGAACATCAAGGTATTTTCGAGATTAATCACAAGAAGATCTACTCTGATCCGTGTTCTTTGCATGATTTACATTGCAATAGGTGGGTGAATATAGTTTGTTTGGTGTTCTTAAAAGTGCGTAAAGAGTAAGTATGTAATTGTGAACAAGATCAGTTCAGGAACTCGGCTCATACAGTGATCCAACGATGAAACAAAATACAGTAGACACAGAATTTCACAAAAAATATATATTTCCTTCCACGGCATTGTGATAACCCTTTTTGGGTGAGTACACAAATCCGAATCTCACTCTTACCGAAGACCTGCCGTTAAAGAGGGAAACCAACAG